AAGAGATCTCTGGTCAGCAACGATTCCACTAAATCTAGATTTCCCTGTTTTACTTACTAAAGAACAAAAGCCATAGCAATGGTAGTGGGCAGACAGTGGCCGGCCCTGTGACCACCATCTCAAGGGAGAATATATAAACAAGTGCTTTTAAAGAACCCAACATCTACAGAAAAGCGACTTACATGATGAAAATATACATACAGAAGTAGTATGAAAACACGTAACATATTCTTTCATACACAAATCATTATATTTTACAAATGCTTAGACGGCTGAAAGGAAATACAGTACATCAAACTTAATAGTGGGCATATTCATGTGGTAGGACTGTGTGAAGTTTTTTCCTGCATTCCTAAATTAGGATGACACCTATTATTTTTTAAATGAAAACAACAATGAACTGCTTCAAATGATTATTTCAAAAATCACTCACTTTAATATTAATGAAGGACGTCCTCTCCCAGTCTCACCATCGGCCCTGCTGCTGCTATCAGCATGAGGCGGCGCCAACGGTCTAGGTTGCTGTCCTAGAACCAAAATCTGCTCCAGGATTAGGAGTAGCGGAAGTACGCCCGGAAACGGCAACATTTACAGGGGCGGGAACAGAGATTCGTGCAGATAAAAAGTGCGAGGCTCTGTACGTATACTCCGTACGGATCACCGCAGTCCATGCACGCTGGGTTCAGCCTGCAACGGCAGGCTTTTTAAGGCTCCCGGAGCACAGTGCAAATGCTGTCTGCCCAAGGAGCGGTACACTTTATGTGGGTAATCAGAGCCAGGCAGGTGGGACCTGGATAACACAAAGAAGAGTGCAAAGAAAAGGCGGGAAGAAGTGCTGTCCCGGGAGCGCGGAGAAAGCGCTTTCACGCCCGGACATCTCCCGCTGCCCTAGCTCACAATTACCCGTGCACGGGCACTTAGTTCCTCCACCTTCCTCCCAGCTCAGGAGCCACAGCAGGTCAACTGGGTGCTCCGGAGACCAGCAGAGGCCGTGGTGCGGCACGCCTTGGCACCAGAGGCTGGTATTCCAGCCAACCCAGTTGCAGCACAAAGCGAGGCAGGCCTCTGGGGCTCCGCCTCCCAACATGCCACCCAGCATCCGCCTCCACCCTGCCCAGATTACCGTACAGCAGTGGGTACATAGTAAGAACTGCTGTCTTTCTTTGCCCATGTGGTAATCCTTCATCTGCAAGGGGTAATGTACAAGCTGTTCTGCAGATGCCTGAAACCGAGAGTGACAGTACTGACCCTTACATAAACTTCGTTCTTCCTAAACATTCCATCTACAACGAATTTTTACTAATAAATTAGAAACGCCAAGGAATTAATCACAATAATAAGAGAACAATTACAACAGTGTACGGCAAGAATTAAAATTTATGAAGTCTTTCCATTTAATAATGTTCTGAAACCACGGTGAAGGGGGACAACTGTATATACTACGTCAATATGCATTATTTCATAGAGATGAAGGAGCACATGTGTCCGTTCAAAGTTAATCTTACCACCTCAGAGCTTGAACTACAGCTCCTAGGGTGCACAGGACACTACCCTTTCACCAAGAAAGAACCAACAGTGAAAACCAAAGGTTTGGTTAATTACTGTGTCTCAGGCACTCCTTTGGATGACAAAAAAGAAACAAACCAAGAAGAGGGAACATAAGAAGTTAAGAGTTATGCGCGGGGTCATCACTCTTACTATTTCTGTACTAAATATATGTCATAAGCTAAAAGAACAAAAATTGCATCTCCAAAGAATTTTTATAGGAAGAGGGAGCGAAATAAAAGCCTACTCATCAGCTCTTGTTATCAGGGAGCACAAAAGAAGCGGCTCTTGAGTCGCATAAAGGCCCCACGTCTCAAAACCCTGGACTTTGCTCTGTAGAAAATGATACTCCAGTTTTATTAAGATAAGACACTCATCTAATTTCATTAACATTAGACATCTAGTTTTATTAGAACAAGATACATTGTTGCTACCTCCTAGAAAACTGTCTGAGCAAATACAGAAATCCATTGTGTCTCCCATTTGCACGGCACACCCTAGCACTGGTCACCGCATAAGCAGGTGAGTGTGCGGTGCAGCCTGACAGAGCAGTATACGCTTTCCTGGTTCAACACTTAGCTTAGAAAACAAATATTAAAACTTGAAACTTCTCACCTAAGTCAGAATATTCCCTCACCAAAAACACCTCCGAGATTCTGAGCAAATTATTCTGGGAAGCGAAGTTCAAGGCCGTGTTAAACACTTGCGTCTCATTCTGAGTACAACCTTGGTCAAGCCACTTGGCCGTCCCAAATGTGTTTGTTCATCCGAAACGCACGGGCAACACCCCTCAGACTGCTGTGAAAATGAAGACAGGGATCGCAGCCTCTGGGCGCGAGCTCCGAGCGCCGGAGGCGAAGGTTACTCCCGGTCACCGAGCAAGGTGGCCACACACCATGCCCTCGGCTGGAAAGCGGAGCCGCGGCGGGGTCAGAGACCAGACTTGTGGGCGCAGCAGGGCACCGGGCAGGGCAGACCTGGAGCAGCACTCTCCTCTGGCTTACAGAACCTCGGACAAGTCTTACCGCCATTCAGTCGCTCCACTTTCAGAACAGAGCTTTAAAAAGGGAAGAAATGATATTGGAAATAACAAATACTTTACAGAAAACTAGGAAGCCGAAGGACTGAACACAAATGCAAAATGTGAGAAAGAAATGTCAGTGCCCGAGTTTAGGAGTGGTCTTTGCGCCCAAAGAGAGGGAGAAGGCGCAACGCAGTCTACAGAAGGGCAGCTTTAGGGTGAGGGCACGCTGTGCTCATTCTGGGGCTGAGACCCCGCCGTCTGTGCTTCAAGCGACTTCGGAAAGTTACTTTTATCCCATTTGTCATAAAAGAATCAAGCGCAGAAGTCCTGAAAGCTCTGGTTAGTAAATACGAGACAGCTATAGAAAACCGGGGAGATCAGTGTATTTCACAAAATTAAGGCACAGTAGTAAAATTAACAAACCAATATCTAACATGTTAATACAAAAGCTGTAAATCGAAAACGACAATTTGAATTCAGCAGGAGGGATGGGCACTCGCTTCTCTTTACACGGGAGTGGCTAGGTTTCCCAGCAGGGCTCTGCAGACCTGCGAAGCGAGCCGCGGGCGTCCCGGTGTCGCAGAGGACGCGCGGCTGTCCCTGCGCCCTGCACCCCAGCTCACCTCATTCCCACCACGTCGGCGGCTCTGTAACCGCCGTTCCCCCACCCCACACTAAGAACACGCGGCAAGCAGACCATTTTCATTACTCCTGTCAGACAAAACATATGGGAACAGTAATTCCAGACATATGTACATCGTAATAGGAAGTGATCCCATTTTAATGCACTTTTAAAAAGAAGTTTTAAATAGACTTCAGCTACTAAAACTATTTAACTCATTTGAAGCTTGCAAATAAGGCTGCTTCGTCCCTAATTTATTTAGCAGATTCATACAGTCCGGCTAGGACCTTAGAGATTGCTCTTTTTACGTTCAAGATAATTGAAAGGCTACTTCGCACTGACCAGAAATGGGATTTATAAGTAAATCTGCCCCACAGTAGAGGATGATCGGCTTAAGTCAATAGTATTTGGCTAGTTTCTGCCTCTGTCTTTATCTTGTATTATTTTGCTCGCCGGTAGAAGGGAACAAATAGATTAAAACTGGTCCTAAAGTTCTAGACTTTGCCTCGCAAATACAGCACGAAACACCCTTCTCTTTAGTCACAGGTCCTGCCCGCTGATCTGGTCATTTAACTGCACTCCTTAAGACACGGGCAGGCGGCAGGAAACGAGGAGCGAGCAGACGCTCTCAGCAGCAGCAGCGGGACAATCCGCGTGGCCTTCCCGTCCGCACTCTAAGTTACACCGGCAGCTCAGACGCCGCCCTCCGAGGGCCCCGCGCTGCTCAGGCGGGAGGGCGGAGGTGCGAGGTCCCGGCCCCGCCGCCCCCGCGAGCACACGCGCCCGAAA